TCTCAGATTTCTATGTACATTGGATTTATTTTAATATTCTATTAAATACCTGAAGATCGAATCCAGGATCTCCTTCCACGGAGACGACTAAAGTCATGGTTTCTCCGATCTTAACAAGTCCGTCAGCGGCTGGGGCAAATGGTCCTCTTCCCACTTGTATATCCAATTTAGCTACTGCGGTATCACCGCTGAAGGTTACTATTTCTTGATTCAACATATCTACAGAGAAGTTCACTGATAGGGCTTTGTTAATGTTGCCTTCCCACAGGCAACGAACTCGACGTACCGTGTCCCAAACTTCTTGTATACCTGGTTCGTTCTAAACAAATATCAAGTTTTAACAAATGAGTTTCATTAGAGGTAGATTTATAAGAGACGATGAAATTACCTGTAGAACTAGCACGTTCTCCAAATAAGCTTGACCAGCCTCGCCTCCAAAATCATTAATGAATTGCGTACCACATGAGTTCAAGCTCACTGTAAACGAATATTTAGTCTGTCCCGAGTTTTGTCCCACGTATCTGCATTCTGGGTTCATGTAGAATCCCTGGAAAGTGATAAGAAATGGTGTAAATCTCGAGTTCAACACGAAGGGAACTCGGGATTACCTTGGAATAGATAACTCCGTCGAATACGCGATTGAACTCGATGTTGATGGTCATCATAGTTTTACTGCACTGGACGTCGAGAGCGTGAATGTGCGGGGGGTGTTTCGAGTCATCATCTGCTCCCGTTTCGGTACCTATCGTATAGAATTTCAGTTTATATACGTACTTTACAGTTTTACATACGAATTCTTTACTTATTCCTTGAAAATAAATTGGGGTGCAGAGGGCAAGGTTGAATTACCTTCCCCGGTGAAAGAACCGGTTCCTGCAGAAGTTTCAACGGCTCCAGAGCCGCTGACTCCTCCACTGGTATCGATGGGAGTAACGGCAGGGTATCCCTGGTCTGTAGGTCTCCCGGACGGGTAACCGTAAGAAGGCGTAGGATAAGACGGGGACGATGGGACATAAGTAGAACTGGGCCTCGAGCTCGGGTAACCATAAGTAGAAAATCCACCGGGAGTCGAATATTGATTAGTAGCACCGGTACTAGCGTAATTATAATTAGTCGAGTATCCACCCGTAGCGGAAAATCCGGTCTGAGTGGTGGAGCTCGGTCTTGAGGTCGAACTAAACGGCGGAAAAACCGAGGAGCCGGAACTTGGGTAAGAAGTTGTAGTTGGCCGAGGGTTGTAAGACGATGGTCCGTAAGACGATTGACTGTTTGGTGGAATATAAGTTGGTTTCTGAGTAGAGAACGTTGGAGACTGATTCGGCGGTGAGAAACCACTCGAAGGTCTCTGGAAGGGGAAATTCGTCACTTCGTTCTGAGAGGGTGAGTAGCTCGGTTGTTGGGAAGGCGGAGGTTGGAATGGACGAGGTCGTTCCGGTGGTCTCTGAGTGCTGTACGGCGGTAGATAGCCTGTTGTATCTGACTGCTGTCGAGCTGTAAAATAATTGGTCTTAAAATCTGATATCGTTAGACTGCATATGTAAAAAGATATTCACTACGAAGTATAAAGTATGTGAACATCAGAAGCTGATCGTGAGTGCATATCGTATGCAGGAAATGTGAGATGATGGATGACATAAAAATACATGGAATCAAGGAGTATATTGAATATCAGAATACGAGTCTTTATGTATCTGAAATTCATTTTTAAAATTGATATAAAATGTCCAGGTATCATCAAAGTTAGTCGACGTCACACGATTCTCTCCTGAAATCTGAAATCGTGCGGTTCCCCTAATACATGTTTGTGCTTCGCGTTATCAATTTTATTGAAGGTTTATATTAGAGGTGCGCCCCTTCGTGAGATTTGATAAGAAGCGTGCACTCGTGCTGTACTTATTAAAGTACATGGTTAACCGCATTCTGAAAACCGTGGTTATTGTTTAGAAGAAAGTTTATGGGAGTATTTTTAGAGTAAGGGCCACTGATTCGTCCAAGTATCAGGGTTTTATATTTGTCAGAAGAATAAAAGAGTAAGAGCCATACGAAAGAACTAATCCTTCGGCTTAGGGCTTTGCTACCCCTGTTAAAAAGTTTTTGGTCAATGCACGATACGTAATAAAATCGTACGGAGTATATTTAGTTATATTTATAAAACAATTGTACTCTGTTTTTAATGGATTTTATCTAATATGTATCATATCGCTTCTCGATCAAGAACTTGTTTTAGGGGTAGTTTTATAGCTCTTCCTGGAGAACGTACGTTTACGTGCGCCCTGTCGGTAGATGCCCTGAATCCACTCTAGGATATTTTGCGCCATCACTTCTGCGGCCGACGCGGGTGCAGCTCGCTGGATTCTCGAGTGCGCTAATGGATTTTAAACGATTTTCTTTGATCAAACTCGCTGACCGTTTTATCGCTCACGGTTATCGGTCTTTTTTTTTTTCTTTGATCTCTCCCTTCATCTCTGTGACTCTATTTCTTACCCGCCGGCGTTCTGACGAACAAGGCATGTCCCCCGTTGTACTCCTGGCTTATAGCTATGCCCAGACCGGCCACGATCAGGAACGTCGCGATTTCCTTCATTTCTCCACCTGAAACGACAATCCTTTTACTTTCTCTCTTCCTGATTCTGCATTTTCGATTTATCATGCTGGAGGAAACATCGTAGAGAACGTTGACACCGGGGAAACCTTGAATTTTTCGCATTCAAGGCTGTGCGCGACGGTATAAACAATGGGGGCTCATTAGTCGTCACGGAAGACTAATTCTATTGCAAACACGTATCTGGGAATGCTACCGATTTTTATGGGAAATTAAACCGTTTATAATGGTTGGCAGTGTTCATTTTATTATAAACTGCATATAGTATGCATTTCGATGTGCATTATTTTATGTACACGGACATTGTAACGTATTTTTCGTATCAGATTGAATTTTTGTATAAACGCATCTAATGTACAATCTACTTGTCCGATTTCGTCACGATTTTCAGAGAAAAATGTGAAGAAGTCGCAACGCTAGTCTCGTGGCAAACACGTTTCCACGATTGTTCGTTGATTCTCAGAGGTTTCGTCAGATCAGATTATGACCAAGTCGGCGTTCGAATTCGCGTGAGTCGAAGCTAATTAACGTCGCGTCTTTTCGGTGATTGCGCAACCGTTTCCCGCTGGGACGAGAAAACGAACTTGAATTTTTGACGTAGCCGTGCAGCTACTTTGCGTGCCGCTTTTACTTTCACGCGTCTGCGATTCTACGCGCGTCTCATTGTCAGCCACCGCGCGAACGGAGACAATTCCTTTGCCAGTTTATTTTTACTGCCGTTTCGGAGTTGCGGAGAAAGTGCAAACTTTAGCTTGCCAATTATATTCGTTTCATTCCGGTGCAATCAGATTTGTTGTTAGTTCGCCAATTATCTTTGTTTTACTGCAATCAGATTTACTATTCAACATTCGTTGACCAGATGAATAGATGAAGAACGATTGAAATTGTTTTAATGATCTCGAGTAGCAGATCGAACATTTGTCAAATTATACCTCGAGGAGCTGGACAAAAGCTTGTGAGAAATGGTTAATGGTAGATGGTTTCTATTCGTGCCAGGATAGAAAGTACTCTTCAGGTACATATACACTCCCGTTCATAAGTTACAATATGACGAAACGCAAATAAAATCAGCATCCCTATTTATTAATTCCATAGAATCTTTCAGTTGCATATTAAAACAATGTTAATCATTTCAGATTATAATAAGTCTTGCAGACTTATTCACATAGAGTCTTGTACAGGCTTAGGGTAACTCAACGATTTTATCCTGAATACAGACTTGTGAACCGGAGTGTACACGAGATATGTAGATGCGATGGCCGTTCGTCCTCGACAGGGAAACTCGGTGGACTGTCGCTTTCGACGCGAACTTGCGAGCCAGAGTATCTGGCTAGATCCGGATGCTCTCTATCGGATATTAGCTTGGGTTCGAGGCCCCAGTGAAACCGAATCGTGACGCCGGCGCTCGTTTAGTTCCGTACCCCTCGCGAGCGAGCTTAGCTCGGGCAAAGGTTTCGCGAAGTCAACCGTCGGATCGTGTCTCGCTCGAGGTGAAAGGTGAAAGTCGCGGCGGAAGATCCACCGTGCTATGCCTTGAACCCTTCGCAACAAATCAATGCGACTGTTTTTTCCATTTATTCCGATCAATGAAATCGAGTTTCACATTCCAGCAACGAAGTTCAACCGTTTTTGGTCAAATATGATACGTGGTATGTCGCAAAACGAATGAACGAAGCATGTGAAGTTAAGAGAAAATACAAAGTCAAACTACTATTGCACGTTCAATGGAATATGTATAATAGAAGTTTTCAATAACTTTCGTGATCAATTTTGGTTGTTCTAACGTTGAAGTTTGTAACGCGTGGGAATGCAGGGGGAGAGAGCGACTGCAGGAAAATAGAATTCCGATTTAATTAAGATTAAGCGCGGGATTCGTTAAAGGATGCATATAAATAACATATTACAGTTTTATAAAGTGAGGGTAAAATGTAGATGCAAAGAATATTAATGCTGTTGCTAATAGCAATTAAAGGGTTACATCTCGGTTGAATGCGTGGGAACGTTCCAATTTACCTATTTAGTCATTTCTTCAATCTATAACGAACGTGAGAAGCAATGCAGTGAAGATTTATACAAAGGGTTGCACAAACGAGAATTGGGAATTAAAATAAATGGGAACGTGATTCTGCAGTAAAATTCATCTCGCATAGTTAAGATTGACGTCTGTGTAATATGCGCCTCAGTTCCTCAGTAGAAAAATAATTTCAACACTTCGTGCTAAAAGAATATTTCTTATAGTGTCAATCATTTAGTTCGTCTTTTTAGAATTTCAATCCCGATAAGAATTCATTTTATCACTTTAGACTCACAGTAGACATTTCATTCTTAATCCGCTTTATATCATTGAATATTTCATGAATATTTCATGGTATTATCTCTTCTATTAAATCTGCAGTTTAACAATTAATAATAAAATAAAATGGGAGAAGTTCGTTCTAATTCTAAATGATTTTAATCTCGAGGGGGTTTGGTCGTATCTGGTGCGGTCGCGCTAATTACCGTAGGAAATTCGCAAAGTTTGCAAGACTCTTTGGGGTGGTAGCCAAGGTGGTTATTTGCGGCGGCCACAGACCAGGGATTGGGCAAGTGTAACGTGCACTTGAGATGCTGCGGTCGAGCTTCGACGTTTCCATGGCCTCAACCGTTTCGCTTAATAACAAGCGACAGAACGGTGCGCGTTCATTATCCTGCGTGAATTTCGTAACCGTCTCGAGCTTAGCGTAACATTTTAACGATCCAGTCATCTTCAGCCAGAGGCATTAATTCAAACTGCGTTTATGTTATCATTAGATTTTTATGGAAAATGGGACATTTGTAATATTAATTTAGAAAATGGATTTTTGTATGAATGCATCTAGTCTAGTCTACTAGTCACATTGCTGTTCTGTTTATCTCGATAAGTCTTCATTTCTTTTACAATTCGTATCTCTTCAGCTTTCCCTGGCAATAAGGCCGATTTCTCGTCAAAATCAATCTTGTTTACTTTAAAGTGAGATTTAATTAATTCCAATGTTCGATTACTTTTTGCAATAGCTTTCTCACGCTAGAAATTTTCAATGCAACCATAAATGTGTTACATCTCGTTACATAAGTTCTCGACCTACATTCGCTTTAAAAAATGAAATTACATTTGACGCAGTCTCTGTCAGCATTAAAAAAGACACGATTTTGTATCACGACATATAATTTTAAAACCCAATTTGTATCTGCCTGGCCGACGATTATTATTAAAAATTCGTTTAAGCAAGACCAGTGTTTGTTCAAATGGGTCAGTGTTTGCTTTCAGGATTGCAAATTGAATCGTTACGTTAGAAAAGATTTCGGAAAAGGTTGAAATCTGTGCAAACCGCCTACGGCTGACATTGCGAAGTAGAAAACCGCGAGCCGCGTTTCTCGGCGCGTAAGGCAATCGATGTCCCCGTAACCCAGACCTATCGGACGTAACTGCCAGTGAAAACTGGCAGATCTCTCGCAACCGCCTCCGAACATCTCTCCCGTTAGCATATTTGGTCGCGCTAAAACGATCTTTGTCACCGCTTCATCACCGAAAATAAATAATCGCTTGGACTCTCGCTTTCACCGTACTTTTCCGCGATGCACCCAGAACAACGATCTCGAGTTGTTTCTTCAGTGCAAGAGTCAATACAGCATAGTATGAGTCAATGAGTGATAAATGGGTTGAGTTCGTTACCGAAAAATTGTATCTGTAGAAAATGCAACGAGTACAGAAGCAAAAGAAGAGAAAATCAAATACAAAGTGCATAGGATTATTTCCAAGAAATAGCGAAATCAAAGGGAAACGTTAAATTAATCATTCTGAAGGATAAAAGAAATTCGTATTTAAATTTCATTCGGTAATGTGCCTGTTGTAAATGTTTTGATCATGTATAAAAACAAAACTAGTGAATTACGTCAGGATTTCGTAATATTCTATTATTCATCTCCCGGTTTTTGGCGGACTTTCCCTTTCGTTATTTTCGATATATTGGCTTTCTCTACGCTGCGGGCAAGGAACAACGTCGAAGCAAAGATTGCAGCACTCGAGGCTTAAAACTTTGCCTTTTTTCAATTGGCGGAATTACGCCACTTGATTGGACGGCAAACGAATATTTCCCCGGGTAAACTTCGCAATACTTGGCCTCACAGAAAGATGCCAGGGGTCAAGCCGTGCGTAGCTATCATGCAGGCGTGGTACGCGATTCCAAGATTCTTAGATACGTGTTGCATTCAATGATACGAGATTCATTAATTACAGTGTCAGTTTTTATAATAGAAAAATATAGTAGATCGGCTCACGTTTGAGATAAATATTGTTGAATCGTTTCAATGAAAGTTTCATTCCCTTATTGCAGATGACGATTTTGGGAGATCAAAGAGTCATTAGTCATAGTTTAATTTTTTGTAGTACAAAAATTTATTATAGACCTGTTCATGTTCAAGTTCATCAAACTATCTGTCAATGAATGAATTATTTCAAACAACAATCCCTATTAGTATAATCTAAATATTCAACGATTGCAACAATTGCTTCCAAGTAAACTTGGCTCGTTCCCTCAAATACTCAAAATTTTTAATGAAGTTCTAATGAAAACGAGTAATTGCAAATAACAATCCTTGTTAGCTTAACTCGTACATCACGTTGAATAATCGCGGCGTGTGTTCCCAAGCGAGTTCTCGTTCTACTAAACTGGAAGCGCAGCGTGTGAGTACCACTGAGTTGACCGATTAGCGCAGAACGCGTGTGCGCTTTCTTCGGGACGCGCCGAAACGAGCCTGCCTCTTCTTTCCTCCTCGCGCTTTCCCGTGCCTCCCTCGTATTCTCACGCTCGTTCAACCTTCGCCCATAATCCCCCTTCCACGACGCGGTGAGAAAAGAGGAAATTAACGGTGACTGTGCGCGATCGATCGCTTCCTTTCCGATTGCACGAATGTCGAGGCCGCGCAATCATTCAATTTTATCTCTGATACGATACGATAGCGCCTGAGTACTACGTTAAGGGATAAGTGTTAACTCCGTCAGGAAGAGTAAGTAACGCTCACTACCGTCTTACCTCCCAAGCCTGACCCGTGTAAACGCAGTTTTTATAAGAGTATGATTAATGAGTCTTTCATCCTGTTGCAACATGTGCCAGCGTCTTTCAAACTGATCATCCGAAGTAACTTATCGTCATCGAAACTTTATTCAAACTAAGAGACAATCCCAGCTGCACGAACGAGTTCCATGCATTATTGTTATTTCATTACAGTTAATAAGCTATTTATTCTATATTATCATTGCGACGTGTATTAGAATTTATCATAACCACAAACCGAGATAATTCATTAAAACCTTGGATCGAAATTTCGTACGTATTACACACGATCAATCATTCTGTCCACTGAATTTTCTTCCCGATATTAAATTCGCTGGGGCATTCGACCGAGAATAAATTGGCACTATTTCCGAATGAGAATGAGCACGATTCGATGCATTGAATTCTCTCTTCGAGACGCGATCGGATTTATCCGATAATTTTTGTTAATGAACAACGCGAGTTGATGCACTCACCTCGGAGCGAAATCCTTCGTCGACGGGAGACGAACAACACGTATCCGATCTTCCCTCGCGACTCGTCCGCGTGAAGATTCGCGTCGTGCGGCAGTTTTGTGAGAAAGGTGAGAGTGAATAGCTGGGAGCATCTTCATTCAAGCTTTATATAGGTATTGTACCCCCTTTCCTAGCCGGCATGTAGAAAGAGCGTGGCATCGCTCTGCCGACTATAATTGTACTATCAACGGGACCAGAAAAAAAAACAATTTTTCACTTTGCTTTAACCCGCGCAACGCGTGCTCGCTAATTATTAATTAAAAAGAAATCGATTATTTCCGCAATTTGAGATTACAATTTTGTCTCTTCAGTTAATGCTATCATTTTAATTAAGGAACAATTTATCTCTTTAAACTTGTAAAAATACATAGCATGGAATATTCAAATAAGAGCATGGAGTCAATTTAATTCAATCAGTTAGGGAGATGGTTTTTGGCAGAGGGATTGTAATTGTCGATTATTAGATCGTCTTTAAATTCGTAAAACTAAGGGAAATAAAGAACTTTACTCGTAAAAGTTTAAAGTTTACCAAGTCGGAGGTTTCCGAAGCGTAAAGGCGAATCCCGGAATGATCTATGCATCTCAGGATCGGTGACTTAGCCGCGTGCCCCGTTGCATTGTGCAACGGATAATTAAGTCCGTAATTGCCCGCGGCAATAAGCCTCCCGCGTGGCTCACGATAAAAACGTCTCATTGGTTCGGTTTTTTAGGACGAAGTAGGATTGATAGTTCAATTTTTCCGTGACATATGTTTATCTCCTAAAGGCGACATCCTTTCAAATCACGTACCGCCGTAATGACGTTAATACAGCTGTTTAGTTTGAGGCCTTACAAGGAGCTCCGATGCATTTCCGTATCGAGCGATCGTTACGCAATTTTTATGTTATTATTCAATTAATTAATTTTTTAGTCTCGCGGATGGGAGTTTGATTTGGTATATCGATTTAAAATATGAAATCCTGCAAGACTTACGTCCATTTTTATGTACATGATTTTACATAAGATTTTATAAACTGTGCTTCGTTTTCTCTTTTGCAATTAACTAATGTATAGAACGAAACTTCGTTTCTCGGCTGTAAGGAAGTCTATGAAAGGATTCTGGATCAGCAAACGTGAGATGCATTCGAAACAATTACAAAACCGAACTCATCCTCAATTATTATATCAACTATTTTCCCAAGATTGGCGCGTGAACGTTCGTTTTCATTAAAATATTTACGAGGTCGATACATCATTTTTATCGCGGTTTTCTATGTTCCCAAGAGTTTGAACATTTATCAAGGCAGAGAATTGCGTTACGCAACGGACAGTGTTAGATGTGACCGAATTCGAAAGACTCGAGAGTAAAATTTAGGAGATCGATATGGCAATCCGGATGGAAAAGCTCCTCTGCCTCTTAACAATTGGTACGGCCGGACGAATTTTCAAATTTATTTCGGACGCTTTCAGACTTTTTCAATTCTAAACCGGCTGCTCGTAAAATGTCCGAGCGATTTCGCTGAGTTCTCAGCCTCGTAAACTCGCCGTTCCGCTTTTAACAAATTGGTTTAGAAACATATTACCGGTCTGCGTATGAAAAATTTCTATGATCTGGTTTTTATATTCTTCGATTCTCGGGTGAAATTCATAAAAGTGGTAACACATTTTATATGTGGCAATATGAATGAAGAATTGAAGTATCAGACTTTTCGTGTTGTTTTCGGATCTTTGTGTTAGGATTCGCGAAGGAGAAAGTCTCGTGGCGATATAGCATGTTTCGTTGAAGTACCCTCCAGTAAAATTTAATATTACACATCCCTGTAAGCATTGCGCAAACCTTCGGTCATAGCCACGCGTAGCTCCATGATTACGCACTATTACAATCCAGAATTGGACATTTAGTTACACTTAAGGATGTATTGGCTATACAGTCAATTCCAAACGTTTATGTACCTTAGAAAAACGCATTTCCTACCATTGGAAAAATCTCGGAAAAATTGGAAATTTTTTTCTCAAAATTTCGAAAAATGCTTCAAATAAAAGTTGTTTTTCTTCTAATTTCGATATTTAATGAGTTAAGTATGATTAATCAGCATTTTATGGGGTCTGATAAAATCCGACCATTTCACCGTCGAATCAGCGAACTTTTGACAAAAAATTTTGTTTTTCCTCAATAACTCCTAAACTATTAGACTTACGAGAAAATTGCATAAGACCTTTCTTGTAGAGGACGGTGAGATCTACAATTTCCATATAAAAGTTTTTCGCTAGCATTAATATTGAAAGAGTTATGGACGAAAAACGAAAAAACAGTTTTTTGCAAATTACTCAGAAACTATTAACGCTAGCTAAAAATTTTTACATGGAAATTATAGATCTCATCGTCCTCTACAAGAAAGGTCGTATGCAATTTTTCCGTATGTCCAACGGTTTGGGAGTTATTGGCAAAAAACGAAAATTTCGCAAAATCTGAAGGGGTACCCCTTCAAAA